TTTCGATTGTGTCACGGCGGTTCCAACGACCCCCTCGCCTCCTCGTTTTTTGGTTCGGGTCCACTGCCAGAGCAACAAGGTCGGCTGAAGAGACTCGGCTCTTTCCTTTTATTTCTAGGCCAAACGTGCGCCGCACCGCATTTGATGACATGCCCAGTGCCGGCGCTTGTTGGCGTTTGCACCGGTTTCTCTGAAACACCAACACTTGTTTGCGTCTTTCACTTTCCGATGTAGACAATAATAAAAAATAATAATAATAATTGATTGTGTTTGTACAAGCGTTTCGTGCACCGCCATGGCCAGGACGATTTTATCACAATGTTAATGTACAGGTAACGTCAGGCGGAGTAAGGGGAAATGATGGTGGGGTATGGTTCATTTGAATAAAATTTAAATAGCAGCGGTGCCAACGGACCCGGGACCGTCGCACTGTAACCTTACCGTAGGTCAGTTTTGGCCCATCTCTCTCTCTCTCTTTCAGTACCGCCGACTGTTGTATAAATTTTTATGTAAATTTAGTGACGCGCTCGCGCGCATACATAATAATAATAATAATAGTAATGGTATTATCATTACCACCGTCATCAGCACCACTACAATAAGTTGTTGTTATTACAATTATCATTATTATGTATTCACCTTTTATTGTAACAACATTGTAGTATGAAGATATAACAAGAGAGTTGGCGCGAGCCACCCGGACTTAATTGAATGCACCGACTGCATTGCGCGTTCATTCATTCGGCCACAGTATAACTGCTACTGTGCATATGCATATGTGTTATAATAAACGCACAATCTGCACAATGGCGTGTAAGTGCTTCACTGTATCATATTGTGTAGTGTATATTGTACAATTTAAATAACATTTGCATTATTCCGGTACAACATAATAAAAGGCTGACAATGTCCGACCAGTTTACCGTCAAATAATAGTAAATCTTCTTGCTGATTCCACTAGATATGTTTTTTGAATAGAAATTCGTACAAATTTTATTTTTATAATTTTCGTAAAACTCATTCATTCATTTCAAAAGCACGACATATTTGCACAGTATTTTCGTACGCTAATAAATTCTTTAAATCATAAAACCTAACCATTAGCTCAACGTTCGTTTGAAATAATCCGAGTTGATAAAATATCAGTATTCGTAATAGTCAGAGAATTTCACTAGAGATGAAAGTTTTTAACTTAAAAATATTTTTGTAAAATCTTTTAGGGTGTCGCAGTAATGGAATTTCTTATGTTAAGTATATCTTTAGATAGTGTTCACCTTAATTATTTAGATAAAAGAGTATTGTACAAAACACTACGTTCTTATAACATTTTTAGCAATATAAATTTCAACTTAAATATTTTTAATTAGAATATTTTAACATTTCAAATAGCTTCAGAAAATTATCGAATAAACAGCTTTAATTCAACATTAGGTTTATTTGTTATAAATAATTCATGAATTTTTAGTTTCCCAGTACTTAACTTAATTTACGTGTGAATTAAATAAACAACTAAATTACTCCTATCAGTTTTACAAACATTTACTTTCAAATATGGATATTTTTAATCGGTTTTCAACAGTGTTTGTCTGTGACTTTGATTTTATAAAGCAAACTCTAAGTAAGTTTGAATAAACATAAAATCACGGGATATAAAATATTATTGGGATACAATGACAATAAACGCGATCCACGTTAGTACCAGTTAAAATATTTTTATTTGAATTTATTTCGTAGTTTATTACAATAAAAAACTATGTGCGTGTAATTTGAATGTTACGAACTTAAAATCACCCATTAAACGTAAGTAAATCAAATAATTACTTGTATTATACGCTCACGTATTAGAACCTGTTTTTTAAATGAAGCGTTAAACATTAGATTCTAAAGGATATTTCTTCTATTGTGTACGACTAGCGCAACGATAAATTCTGTTTTCAAACCATTAATGGAAAAAACACCATTTAGGTGTAATATCTCATTGTACACAGAAATTTATGTGCGCGTATTTTAAAGTGCTTAATAGTTGATGATGTAACATTTAAAACGTCGAGAGGAGCCAAGTTATGCCAATTTTTTCTTTAAACCGGAAACGTTTACTCTTAAGTATGGACCATAGCCAATTTTGAGCGAGTAATGCACCTGTGATCTAAACGTGCAACGCCTTCGACATCAACAAAAGTAACATTATTAATCACAATTATTATCATATTTTCCCGTTGTTTGGGAGCGTCCTCGGGCATTCCACGCGCGTAGGTCGTAGAACGGCCGACATATCTGTTTGTCGAAACCCATAAATTGGCTTGTTATTATCATCAGCGATGGCGGCGATATTAACGAACAACAAGACTTGACACCAAACAGCCGGCAGGATGCAGTCTGTGACACCTCGTTGTGGTTGTTATTACGATGGGGTTGTGCGAGACGGACTTGCCGCAGCGACACCGAATTTGACGGCGCCGCGGGATACGCACACGGAGGCCAATAATATGTTGACCGAACCCGATACCGTTTGCTATCATTACATTATCATGATAATAGATGCTGCGCAGACATGTTATGATAAACCGAATAACAATATTTTGTTTATCTCGGATGGTTTAATGGTTCTCGGTCGACGGTAAAATCAAACAGCGAGCCACCAACTTTTGCTCGTACATCAGAAATTTGTGCGGTTGATATTTTTTATTGATTTATACTTGACGCTATTGAGGTTATTTTCGTTGTAGAAAAGAAAGACAAACCTTTACTCGTTCAGATTTAGGTACGAGGCACTTGTGAAGCGTAGCTCAAAGTGTCACCAATCGACTCGTTTATTATTTTAATGCATCCATATCATTTCCAAGCACCTGGAGTGCGAAATCGCTACAGCATTAGAATTTGTAGTGTTCCCGAAATCATGGAAAACCATTTCTTACTTGTGTTTTTCTCTTGATATTTCTTCTCGGTAGACGTCCCCTACAACGTTTTTACATTTGATAATCCTAAACGACAGTCGTTCAGTTCACCGAGTATTCCAAAAGCTCGTGTGAATTATCGACAACTACCGCCTGATAGATGCACTTACCGATCGAGCCACTATTTTTTATCTTCCCAATTGACCTGATTGCCGGACCGACTAGGGTACACGCATTCCGGCCACTGACGGTTGCTGAGAGGCATCTCGCGCCAACCAATTCGATATAGGGACAAGGAATTTTAATAACAACGGTAGATCATCGCGGTGCATGTGTGCTCTAGAACGGGTCCGAGTGGGCGCACGGGAGGGGGAGACAACTCACCGCTGGAGATCAATTAACCGACGATCGGTGATGCAGTGCATCAGAAACCCTTCCGGCGATGTCCGCACATGTATTTACGACGGTGCGTTGGTATATTATAATAATTTATCAACGCCGATCACCAAAGGGGACGTCGACGAGAGCCACCGGCTGCAGGTAAAATTCGATTTGGTTAACCGTGTAGAGGTTTTTTAATTGTCTTGAAATCGTTGCTTATTGCGGCCGTAATTCATCGGGCCTTGCACACTTCTCCACGGACGTCATCATCGACGTCCGCAAAGGAACTATCGATAACAAGCGTTTTTTTGTGTTGCCGTTTCGTGGAGTGGACAAAACCTGTCTATTCCATAAACGATTTGTCCGCAAGAGAATTTTTTCGGTGATCTCACTCTAATAAGCCGGGCCCCCAAAAACATATCCAGCCGGTCTGCTATGTGTCATCAAGTTCAGTCTTGACCAACGCACTACGTGCAATCGCCGTTCAGTACTATACAATGAGTTCCCTGGAATGGTGTAATGGTTGCCGGCTTGATTGGTTTATGATTATTTGTTTGTTTTTCTATGTTTCTCATCGTTCACACGAGTTGTTTGATTTTCTGGTTTCGACAAAAAGCAGTAAACCGTTCGGACGAGCATCGCCAATACGTTAAGAGGAAACGAATTTTTGTTCAGTTATCTAGTGATCTCTGTGTGTGTGTATGTGTAAGCCTGTCAAGAGAAAGCCGCGACTTCAGTATAACGAACACGATGGACGGCCCGTGTCGGTTTGTCGTCGTACCCAAAAGAAATAATAAAAAAACACAATCCACGCCGAGTATGTGTTTTACGTACAATAAGTCAGTCCGGAGGATATTTTTTAAAACGTCGTCGGGTTTCGGCGGGGCATTCGGCCGGGTCTTGTTGTACACGCGGTGAACGATCCGATGTTTATCTTCCTTACTATATCTCTCTGCGGGTCTCAAAGGTGTCTGGTCGACTGTGTTACCTGTCCCGTTCGGCTGTGGGAGGAGATGGAATTTTCTTCCCCTCCTAGCCCGTCACCCCTATGTCGTGCGGACGTTATTAATTTTTTTATTTCACGTACTCTTTTTATTTTTCACTTTGACGTGTATGAGCGTTAAAGAAGCGAATATCGTCGTTATATTAAGTAAAAAATAAAATAAAAACTCGGGACGAGGTCGTCTCCTAATCCGACGGATTATGCCGCAGGATCCTTTCATTCCGCTGTCGGGTGATGATATTCTTTTTCATTCTATGGGAATAAAAACGTTTGTCTTACAAGTCGGATGACCTGCCCTTTGGAACTATTTGTACCGACTGAATAGTACAACGTTTGCCTAGTCATTTAATCAATCAGAGTTGTGGTTATTGTTTCTGTAAATTGATAATACAATATTTTTCAAATATCAAAAAAATTAACAATAAATTATCAACAATTTGTTGAATAGACACACATATCAAATCAATAATTTATTAATTTAAACATTTTATCAGTATAACTAGATTATTTGAAGTTAATAAATGTTAGCTAAAACATTTAAGTTATTACAACACTAGTTTATTTTTAATTTTCTCATTATAATATTATTGATTATTCATTTATAAAAGCTATAACCTTAGGTAGTCTTAAAGTTATTAGTTAATAAACGAATCAAAATTATTATCTTTTGATTTTTTTTTCTGTTCTTTGACCTATATTAATTTGGACTTTAAGTAATCAGCTACGCAAATACTTTTATTGTTCTTAGTTGTCTATTGGCATTTGTTTTTTGACATTGGTATGATGAAAATCTTAATAACTTTTTTTTTAGTATTTATTTTTTTTAGCGCTATTAGTGCTGAAGAAATAACAAATTTTCGTCCGTGCTTGAGTAAGTATTGATTTAAATGAGATTTTCACTAGTATACAATTATTTATGAAAAATTTTCAGATTCAAAATGTACAATCAAAAAACTATACATTAGTCCGTGTCCAGAAGCATTAGATGGAAATCCTTGTGAATTTCCCGCTGGAATCAATGCAACAGTAATTATGGAATATATACCTCGTTAGTTGAGATATTTTTGTAAATTATTTGTTATTTTGATGATAAAATGTATAATTGGATAAGTTGATTTTTTTTTAAATTTATTTTATTCTTTAGCTATTGGAAGTAAAGTTAGCATCTAACTATTTATAACTCATTAAATCACTCATTATTTTTAAATTTGTTTATATAAATTCTGTTTTTATTTTTCAAAGATGTTATGCAAGTTTTAACAATTATACAGAATAGCACTTTATTAACTTCAACGATTTCTTATGCGAATCGACTCTTTTTAAGTGCAAAAAACTAAACTTAACTCGGTTAAACTAACGTTATTTTTTGAAACACTAAAGAAAATATATTTTTTTTATACAAATAAAAATTAAATTAAAACCGCTTTATTTTGATTCATCAGATTTATACACAATAAACCTCAGAATTACTTTGAATTATTTTTTTTTGTTTCATTATTTTATTTAGAATATAAATTGTTTAAATTTATAATTTAACTGCTCCGAAGCATATAATTTATTTACAAATGAGACTTTTTCTTGGTCCAATCTATATGCATTATGTACTCAACACAAACAATTTTTCTATTATTTATGAAGCAAATTTCATTTATTTTCAGACTTTAGCGCTCAAAAACCAAAACTTAGGTTTTATAATGTGCAATTACTATTAGATATTCCCCACCCTTTCATTGATCCAGATGGGTGTTTGTATACAAGTTGCCCACTACAGGCTAACGTCACCCAAAAGTTCAAATATGAATCCGTAACATCGAATTTGGAACCTAGAGGTGATTATTTATCCAAATTGAGACTGTGGGATGATTCAGAAAACGCAAAGTATGAAGACCAATGCTGCGTTCTAATGGAAATGAAATTAGTTTAATTGTCATTTAAAGAGTTAATATTTATGGATAAGAGACCATTATTTGTATTGGCTTATTATGTGATAAAATAAAAAATAAAACAACAAATGATCTTGAAATTTATTTGACCGAGTTATAAGTAAAATATTTAAAAATAATTTATTGTCTTCGTTTTTTACAAATTAGTACATATAGTATGACATTAATGTAATTTCGTATGAACGTAGAAAATATAAATAATGGTGTGATTTTTTTTTTTTTTCATTTTCATATATAATAGTTATTTAAGAATTATAAGTTGAATAAAAATTTAATAAATACATTCAGATAACTAATAAAAATATTGCATTACAAAAAATAATATTTGCTAATAATGCTGAGATTGATAACAAAAGTGGATGACCGTATTTTGGTTTTTTTCATTATGATTTCCCAGGGGCCCTGTCCACATAAACAGAACGTTCTCGGGATTTTTTTTCATGGTCTATGTTTGACATTTTTTACTACCTCTTTCAATATATATATTTATTTTTGTAATGGAAGGAGGTTGTAATCCCCATATTTCTCCGTGAGAAAGACCTTAAACATAAATCTTACCCTAATTAATAAGTATATTTGCGAATTTCTATAAAAATGTTTTATTATTTAAGTATGTCAAATCATAAATGTGCAAGTTTTTTTTGATATTTCAATTAAAAAATTAGTCAAAAATTCAATAAAATGTTAAAACACATTTTTCTTCAAGGTACTGTAAATTTGTTTGAATATATTTTTTTAACAAATACTACGATTTATATCATATATTCTTTTTCCTCGCCCTAATCCCAACTATTCGTGTTCGGCCATTACATCATATATAAGTACAATTGATAATGTACTTATCAAAATTAAAAAATAATAATTATTTTGAGTGTTGTATTTATTCATTGGCAGTAATTACCATTGCTGCCAACTTATGTTTGTATAATCGTAACATAGATATTATTTTGATTTCGCCAATAAAATTTCATAGTTATGAAAAATTAAGTTATAAATTATACAATATTTTAAAATGTTATTATACTAAACATTTTTTTTGCATATTTAATATTTTTTTTTTATTACTCAGTTGAATGCATATTCTTTATAAGGGTTGTTAAAAACATGTTTTAAAGTAAAAAACATGTTTAAAACATAAGTAAACCGTTTAAAATGTACCTTATTACGTAAGTGTTGAATGTTTGGTGTTTTAAGTACTGCATGCTTAAAACGTAACGAACCCTATTCTATATTGATATTAGATATTAATATCAATATAATTGATATAACTATATTAGTTAATTTTGCACAATGCATAATTTTTACAATTAAGTAAAAATTAAAGTTGCTTATGTTTTCTTAGTAGTTTATTCGTTTGTGTTAAATTATTATTATTTATTTGTCTCTGCAAATAACCGATTAATTGTTTTTAATTTGCGGTAATATTGTCGATTAAACAGATTATTTCGAAAAATCAATTTCGGTTTTAGCAACTTGGGACATATTTAAAAACTTATGTTGGGAAGGGGGCACAACAATTTTTTTCATAGACAACGCAGTCGATATCATCTATGTTTGATCTAACTATAATGAATTTATTGCTTTGTAATATACATTAGCGTAAAAATAATTTTCATTTTTGGGTGCAAATAATTTTTTTAACCCCCCTCCCTAATCTACCCTAACAATATAAAGCCAGTAGTTCATATTACTAACGTTTCAACACTATTAATACAAATTTGTACAGGCTGATGATGTGTTGAAATAACTGAACACAGTTTATACATGTATATAAATTCCGCTCTCTAATGATAAGTGATAACGTTTCTAGGACAATCTTACTGAACGTGGAATTTTGCTTAATATAATATTGTATTGTTTAATAAACACATGTTATCGTTGATTATCAAAAAAAAAATTATTTTTTTCAATTGATATTAATCACTAAATATATTACTGATAAAACATTAGCATCGCTCTGTCAGTAGTATCGAGGAAGGGGCATGTGCCTATGTGTCCCCCTCTAAATACACTGTTATTGAACATATTGATATATTGTTTCTACATTTCATTTTATACATCGATGTTTTAAAAAGGCTATTGGTATATTGAATTATTCGAATAAAATTATTTTAATACTGTCGACTATCAAATAGAACAAATAACTATCACGAAGGTCTAGTTCGTTCCACTTGTTCGACAAACAACCACATTATGAAGAACTTAAACATTTTCTTATTGGGAGTTATTTATTTCAGTGCTATTAATGCTGAAGAAATAACAAATTTTCGCCCATGTCTAAGTAAATATTCTTAAATTGAGTGATATTCTTATGAGTATATATTTTATTTATAGATATTTTATAGATTCAAATTGTACAATTCATAAAGTATCCATAAATCCTTGCCCTGAAGCCCTAGATGGAAATGTCTGTGAAATTCCTTTGGGAGAAAGTGCTTCAATGGTTATGGAATTTACGCCTCGTGAGTATAATTGATTGTTTAAATTTGTTTAGGTATAATTGCAACATTTTTCGTATATTCATTCTAATAATTAAAAATATCAGTGTAATAGTATGACAGCTCCAGTTTTTAAAACTTTTCAAAAGAGTAGAAAAAAATTTCAGATTTGTGATTGAAAACTTATTGAAAAGTTAAATTTCAAAAGTCTTATTTTTAAGACAAATTAGTAGAATTTTATTATTTTTAATAAAAAACGACAGTATTTTTTTTTCAATACATAGTCTTAAAAAAATAATTTTAGCAAAAAAATGAAGCTACCCAGAGTTGAATAATTTAATGATACTTAAACCAAAATTAAATATTCCTTGACATTTTAAATGTTATCATTTAAAAATTATTTAATATTATTAAATCATTTTTTTACTCTCAATTTGGTCATCCCAATAAAAATAGTCAATATAACAACCATGTGATAAGCTTATTTTTTATTATAAATTGAGTATATTTGAATTCTCATATCACATAAATATTTGTTCGCATAGTAAACAGAACTTTAATTATTGCTACAAAGTCATTTTCATTTAATCTGTGATAACTGCATAACGCTCATATAAATAATTGGACTAAATTTGAATTTAATACGATCAACGAAGTAATCTTATTTATTTTAAACTTAAAGGTCGAATGTCAATAATGAATAAGCTTTTCATACCTTTGATAATTTTAATAAATTTAAATTAAGTTTGCTTAACTAATAGATGCAAAGCAATGATACGGTATTATACATATTATATTTGTACACACAAAATACAGGATTTAGGAACAGATCATGAGTTATTATACTTATTCTAATGTTGCTATGAACTCGTCTCAATTTTTTTTAAGAAAACAATTATTTTGAAATATTTTAAAAAATAATTTGTTTTTAAATTTATTCTATAAAAGTTTAATGATAAAAATATGCATTTAATGTAATCTAAAATATAGTGTGAAAAAAGATTATTGAACCAATAATTATAAGAGTTCTCAGTTAAGTCTGTTCTACCTCCTATATGTACATAACTTTGTAGACGAATTTTCAAAAATATTTATTTGCTTATATATAAAAATAAGTATACTATAATTATAGCAGCTTTGAGTATTTTTTAATAACCTACTCATTACTTTTTTCTGTTTGTGAAAAATAATGAACAATTAACATTGGACATCATATAAATATACATATTATAAATAATACGGCATACATAAATATATATATGTATTTTACTAGAAGAATGTATGTTAAAATTTACAATAATCTCTTAGCTATACAATTGGTTATTTGATTATTGTAAATTTAAATATAATTATTTTACATAAAGATTACTTTACATTTATTTATAGATTTCAGCACTCCAAATCCAAAAGCTAGATTTTATGGAGTAAATGCATTAATAGATGTTCCGTTAATCGACATGGATACAAATGGGTGTTTGTATACAAGTTGTCCACTACAGGCGAATGTCAACCATAAGTTCAAATATGAACTCGTAACATCGCTTTTGTACCCTAGAGGTAATCATTTGTCAAAATTGAGGGTGTGGGATGATTCAGAAAACGCAAAGTATGAAGACCAATGCTGCATTATATACGACGTAAAATTAGTTTAATTTTCGTTATAAAATTTTAAATTCATATTTATATGCGATGAAGTAAGGAATGATTAAATATTAGTACTTTTTGTTAATTAACAAATGTTCTATAGACATTTTTCACATAAATTATAATTTTTTTGGATACTTAGTATATTTTACAAATAATATATCATTATATAAAAAATATGGCAGTAATTTTACTTATAAAACCAAACGATTATTCAATTGAAGTGTTAAGCGATAGTTATTTTTCAGGTAGACTTGAATTTGAGATTTCCGGTCGGATGCTGTAGTTTTTTAAAAAACGCGGTACAGGTACAATTTATTTTTATACGTACGACTTACATAGACAAAATACAATAATAATAATAATATGTAATTTGAATCTGTACGATGGATGACGGGCAGCAATTATGTTGGAGTAATGAAAAAATCAAATGGCTATATTCCAAGATTTTTCACCGCGTACATACATAATAGTATTAGTAATGTTTTTAATTGATGGCTTAAACATTTTACAACACCGATGACTAGTTATACGATGCCGGTTGTTTTACCTTGTAGATTGTTATCTTAATTTCAGCATTTTTTTATTTTATTCTTTGGTTTATAGAAATATCCATTAAACGGTTAATCGAGTGGAGTGTACCTCATCATTGGTTTCAAACGTGAATTTTAGTTCGCACAGTTCTTATTCCTAACTGTCCGAGCTAATGTCGTGCCTCACGTTATTTATTTACTTGGCCAAGGTTGTGATCGCCAAAAAAAAAAAAAATCTGAAGTAGGTAGCTCGGTTTTATATACGTGTGTGTACACATAGGTAGATGTATGTATGTGTAGTTTTTTTTTTTTTTCATTTGGGTACACGTGAACAAAATTAAATCGCATCACCTTGAGGACTCTTTGGATCTTTGAACCAACCGGTTATACTCGATACGCACCACTGCTTCAGATGGTTTTGCAATGTCTAAAGCGCAACTGCGACGGCGGCCTACAATAATTTTGCAATTTAATTGCCACAAGTATAAATGTACGTATGCGGCTAAACGATGGCCAATTGCTCTTCCCACGCATTCATTCGCCGTGATATAATAACGCGACGCGTTCGGTGTGTCGCCACAAGTAAAAAAGCAATACCCGCGGAGACGATTCGTGGAACGCGCCCGTACGGGTTATGTGTTTACTTTTTTAGGGGGTTGACCGGTAGTGGGTCTTCAACAACAGCGTGTAGTCCAAACGGTTGTATGTGTACTTACCACTCGAAAATGTACTCGGGGCCTATCGCGCGCACGTATCGTGTTCAGCCAAGTCATCGTAATCACTTTGTCGTATGTCTATATTAGTATTATGCTCTTTTGGGAGGTTAAGAACCCGACGAGTGCTGCAGCTCTTGAAATCGCGTTCCCGTCGCTGCAGTAACACTCGGGACGTTTCTTCTTCTCTCCGAAAAGACACTGACACAGTGATGTTATTGACCGACCCGTTTCCATCGTTCATTCGACTAAATATTGATTAGGCGTATACTTTGTTCATAACTGACCGTATAATACTAGTGCGCGTGTTATTAAATTCATTTACAGTCGAAAAAACCAATTTGTCGAAAAGAATTATGATAGTCAAATAGTTTGAAACATTATGTAACGCGCAAATGGTGGCGCCTGTATTATTATGTTGATTGAAGGACAATGAAATCGTGCGAATCCTATACTTTAAAAAATGTTATTAACACGATTCGCAAACGTTTAAATATTGAATAATTCATACGAAAATTAATCGAAATATTAATACGACAAGAAAAATATTGTTATCGATTTCAAATAAGTTATTCAGTTCTCAGCTGTTAAGTATTTACCTTAGTGAAATTATACTCATTACTGTAGCAATATTGTAAATTAGATAATATCACTGTTCGTTTGAGTGTAACATTGTACTTTAACGTATAAATATTCAGTCGACTATTAATTTGCGAGTAATTTTACCGTCGTTTAATATTTTAAAAAATAATTTCATAATCAAATATCATTATAGAGCTGATTACAGAGTTATTCTTATAATTGATTGTCGAACGATTGCATCTAAGGAAAATTACATGTTTCTGCGTCCACATAGTTATTTTTGTATCCAGTTTTGGCAAACATAGTAGTACGACTAGTAATTTGTTCAAAAACTATTTATAATTATATGTAAACGTTGTAAGTAATGCGATTATATTATAACGCGAGCATTAGCCATAAGGCAAAAAGGGCGTTAAGGGGAGACATTAATAAAAGTACCTTGAATGAGCAACTAAAAAACATCAATTATTAAGCTATTAATTATTTGTTGATATTTACTTAGGGGTAAAGGACAAGGTTACCGTTTGATATTTTCTGAACTCAAATTCGCGATGCACACGAACGATTTCCTTATAACGATGTGTTATTTTTTGTGGTTTTTTTCCTCGTAACGCGTTCCGATAGTTTCTCGCTGAAACCGGACCCGACGGAGATATTTTCGCCATTGCGAATCGCTCCGTGAAGGTTTTTTCGTATTATCTTCCAGTTTAATTGGTTTGTCGGTCGTCAATTAGAGTGTACCGAACGAGAAATAATAACGACACGGTGTACTCGGCGGCATTGTGTTCCGCACGCCGGTCGAGTTGCCACCGTGCGCCGCAAGCCCCAGAACTTTAGCCGGCGCTCGAGGCTCGGCGGCCGACCTTGGCGCGGTGGATGTCGCCTACCACCCGGCCACGCGCGCGCGCCTCACCATTTGTCCGTTGCATCGGCGGCGGATACGTTTTTAATACACTTGTGGTGTGTGCAACGGAGGACGCGTAATTATTATCATTAGCCGCCCAGCGTTATCGATCATCGTCTACATTTTTTTTCCATCGGTCCGTCGAAACGACGGTTCCATTAAAAAAACAAAACGAACACAACTGGGCGCAATGCAGCAGCGGCCGCCGCCGACAATCGCGTTGACGGCTGAAGGCGATCGAAACTGGTAGAACCGGAGGACCCCGCAGCAGCTGCCCGACCTCCGGGGACGTGTGCTGAGAGCAAGACAGAAATACGTCTCCGTGAACTGTGCGAGTGCTCGGCGGTGAGGCAGAGAGAGAGACGAGTCCTCGCGGACCCGTTAACACCGCTGGCATGTGCACACTGCGTTTATTACACTGTCCCATATATATATATAGTATGTGTGTGTACATTTTTTTTAATGGTTCGATGTGTGTGTGCGCTCACTCGTTACCGAATCACAACCCCGTCCGTAAAAAATGCGGAAAATCGTCCAGGTAAATTGTGTCTAATCAAGGAAAACCCGACGGTTATTGCATCGTGTGATGCAAATTGATTTTTCAAAACTCTTCCTTACGACCTCTCCCAGCTCCCGTTCACTTGAACAATTTTCTAACGTCGTGAGGTCGACTTGATGTAACTGACAATGTTTTCGCAAATAAAAAACCAATACAGGTGCTGCTATTTCGCTCGTGAAACGATATTGAAAAATTGTGTTGAAATGTTTTTTTTATGAGTTTTTTGTTAGAACACACTATATATATATTTATACACTTGAGTAAATAATTAATTACTTAAAAGGTATAAATGTTATTTTTTGTTACCTTTAATCGTCGAGAAAATGTAAGTTTTTTTTTTTTAGGTAATTTGAAAATAAAGATCATAAAATATTATTATTAATCACTTGTACAATCATTTATTGAAAATAATAATATCATTAAAGTTTATGTAATACTAATACTAATTGATTAAGTTTATTTTAAAAACTAAATTTTGCATAGATTAGTTTTGTTTATTAGATTCTATTGTATTTTTAAATACAACAGACGTCGTTCAACCGTATGACAGTTTCCACAATTTTGATTTAATGGAACCGTATTTTTTTAAGTGACTCAATTTTTGAATTAAGTAGGGATAGAAAACCAATACCAGCTTTCTGGAACGGAATCGAACCTTTTTATCTGCACACTAAGACACAACGCCTTAAATTTTGTTCGTTTTTAATTTTTTATTTGTTTCGTACTCAAAACAGAACATTATTAATTTATTAGAACAGAGTTGAACCTCCACGTCAACGCGTTCCCGATCGAAACATTGAGGTTGCTTTTTAAACGTGAATGTTTCTTTCTTGTTTTTTAAAACCAAAAAAAATATCTGGTACATAAAAAACTTGTTTTTAGATAACCAGATCAGTTCGATAGGACGGAATTAAACTTTGATTTGCCATGATACGACGCCCCGACCGACTTACTCAAGTCACTATTGTATGTTTATGTTTTATCAGTGTACCTTAAGTGCACTGATAAGTTTAATGATATAGATCATACCTAGTTCGCCAATATCCAAGTACGATGTCAGCAGTAAAAAGTAATGTTTTTTTTCACTGCAATATAAAAATTTCTAGACCAAGTAAAAACAAAAAAAGTAGCATTTTTTAATTTATTGACATTTAAGCACTGACCAAAAATATAAACGCAGTTTATTAATATTTCAAAAAAAAAAAGATGTCGATATACAAGTCAAATTTATTATAAGTAAGTTTTTGGGTATGAGACTTAACTCATCATAGCTATAGTAGTTGATAAAAAGTTATAGTTCCTTTGAAAACTTAATTAAGTTTTCAAAGAAACTTTATATTAGGTGGACTCATTCGAATTAATTAAACTTTAATGAATCCATCTAACATCAAAATAATTATTGTTTTTATGTTATAATACTGTAATAGATAAATTTCCAGGAGTCAAACGACAAAATCAAATAAACAAATCTAAATATAGAAACAATCTATGAATCTCTTTGAAAATGTTTTTTTTTGTATTTCATTTAAGGTAAAATTATTTTGAGTATTTAATTCAGTAAAAATAATTTATTTAATGTCTACTATGAAAAGTAATTTTTCAAATAGACCAATCATAATGTGTATTTTATATTGTTTATTTATGTCTTATTAGTAAAAATTAATTGGTTTGATTGACTGGTTCATTTTATAAATTAAACAAATATAACTATCGTTTCGCTGCATGTTTTATTTATACGATGCGATAACTTGTTAAATAATAATTTTACCTTGATCGGTATATAAAAAAATTAATATATTTTTGATCATTAACATAATGATAAAAATAAATTACCGTACTTATACGATAATATGAAAAGATAAAGTAGTTGTACAGTGGAAAAAAATTG